AAAGAGCACAGCCAGAATTATTGGAGAAAGGTACCTTTTTTTATTGCCATTTCATGTCAGGTAAATTCAAATGCTGAGGATTAAGTTATATTGTTGGGTCATTAGAAAAAGATAATGAAGAGGGCCAGCAGGTGGCATGGTGGTTAAGGTGCTAGACTCCCACATGGCCGACCAAGTTTGAGTCCTGGACCTGGTGACTTGCTTTCTCACTTTCCCTCTCTCTCTCTGTCTTTCTTTTTCTCTCTCTCTCCCTCTGTGTCCCTCTCTGGTCAAATTAAAATAAATAAATAAAGTTAAATAAAAATAATTCTTTAAAAAAGAAAAGATATGGGGGACCAGCAGGTGGCATGGTGGTTAAGACCCTGGACACTCCCACATGGCCAACCATAATTCGAGTCCTGGACCTGGTGGCTTGCTTTCTCTCATTCTCTTTCTCTTCCTGTGTTTCTCTCTGGTCAAATTAAAATAAATGAATGAATGAATAAAATTAAAAATAAACAATTATTTTAAAAAGATATGAAGATATTCATAATTTTTTAAATACATAAGCAATATATCTATGAGTTGCCTCCAACTCACAAGAGATTCTTAGAATTGCAAGAAAATGTCTAACTGAGCATTCCTTTCAGATTTTCAAATATTGTTTGGTATTCCAGACATTTGAACTTATTTTGTAACGCAACATAGCTTGTGAGTCTTTTTACTTAAGCAGATAAGTATTTGTCTCCTTGTATGTAATCGGATGTAGTGCATCTCAAGCCTAGTAAGAGCTCTGACTCTTTGGGCATCCGTGACATGGTGAATATATTTAAGCTGTTTGCATTAATCATCCTTTCAACAGTATTATCAGAGATGATCATCACTGGTGAATGCTTAAGAATTTAAGGCTGAACAATTCTGAAATAAAACTAAAGTATCTTGATTTTTTTTTTTTTTTTGAAAAAACAATTGCATCTATACCTTGCATTCTGTTTTTAAATCCTTCCATTTTGGTTAAGTGTTTCACAAAATCCTGCAAATCTATACAGTATTGAAGAGAGGCAACATTGCAAATTCCCCTTGCTAGATGGAGGGCCCTCAACTGCCAGGACATTTTTCTTTGCCTCATAGCAACTGCTCTCTCCTCTTTATCAGTATTCTGTTTAAAATAGAGAAAGGAAAATAAAAATGGGCTTTTAACACTTCCAAGAAGAAGTGGATGATCTTGATTGGTCATAAGATGGGAAGAAAAGGCAGCATTTAAAATCAGACCTTTTTTGCCTTTCCTTCTGAAAACTAGTTACCATGAATAAGTAAACATTTCCCTTTTAATGGCTAATAATCAATTGCTTGGTGGTGGTCCAGGCCTGGCTGGGATTCTTTCTTCGTTGTATTGATGATATATACACATCGGACAAGGGACAGCAATTACTCTTGGGCTGGGAATTTAGTCCATATTTGAAATGGGCTTTAGATTTGATTGTTTAATGTCAAATGACAAGATTTTGAATGATCCTACCTTAAGTCTCTTAAAATGTTAACTTTACATTGACTTTGTTGTCATTCTTGATCTGTAGGGGGGAAACTCCCTTTCCTAATACATTTAGTTGTTTAAATATATACATAAAAAAACATTTAGAGGCTAAAATGTTTAAATGAATTCAGAAATGTATTTCATTAACTATCCATACTCTCCATTTCCTAAAGAGCCAGCAAATAACTTCTCAATTTTAAGCTAGTTTATTAGTTTATTAAATATTTCCGGTCTTTCTCATGCC